ACATTAGTGATTGTGAATAAAATAAATAATTTCTTAATTATGATTAGGATCAATAATCAATATCAATATTTAAAAATTTAGGAAATAATGATCGCTGGAATAATAGAGTGGTTATAAATGGTTGTTCTGTATATACAAATTATTTCAAATTAATTTGGTGGGAAAATAAACGATGAGAATGTAATTGGTTAGGTTTAACTATTGAGTGATTTATTATTTTTTATCTATATTTATTATTTATTTCTTTTTAAGTAGTCAATATTTTCGAAGTGCTTTAAAACCGAGAACAATGAAACTGCCTTTTTAGGGCTTATAAAATATGAAATATACTTACAGAAATTCACAATTCCTAAATAGACTTTTATGTTTTCTTGTTATATTATTACATACTGAATTAAACACAAAACCCAAAATTTGAAAACTTAAGTTTACGATGCAAAAATTTTCATGTTGAAGCGATTTTGCTTAATACTATTACTTAATTGATCGGGTTTTATTTTGTTAATTTAAAATTTCTTTCATTTTCAAAAGCATATACCTATGGACCCATATTTTTTAAATTTTTTCCAGGAATCATCCAGTCATGTATTCGTACACTGTAAAATTAATGTAGGCTTTTGCAGCCAAAGTCACGTTGAATTCTGGGGTTTTTTTGGTTTACACCGCGTGAATATAGAAAAAAAGGTCGACGTTTCGCCCGCTCTTGTAAGGGGCATCTTCAGGACAAGAAAAGGATATTGACTCCTGCAAATGAAAATCTCGACGAAAATAATAACATATGTCAAAAACTATGACAAATAAGTAAAAACAAACTGAAATATAAAATCTCCCTAATTTTTTTAGCTCTTAGGTATTCATGCTACTTTACTTGCATGGATTTGTCATATTATATTTTATAAAACTAATTAACATTAACATTATTTTTCAAGTTAAATCGAAACAGTATCAATCACTTCATCCTCCTCTGTTTCCATCATTGAAGTATGCTGTATTCGAATTTCCTCATTATTCTCCGACAAAATTTGCAAAGTGCTTTCAAGTCTGCTCATTGCCAACTGTCGAATTTTTTTGTTGAGTTCAGGAAACGGTTCTATTGCCTCTTGAAAATCTCTTCGACTCAACTTGAACAATTCGCATTCTTTGACGGCGATCACAGTGGCAACTCGAGGTTCATTAATTACCAAAGCGATTTCACCGAAATGGCTACCATCTTCCAAGTGACAAATCTGGAAACAAGAACGTTGATTATTGCTGGTTTTTGCACCAAGCGAACCTCTTTTCCGTTTCCTGTGTAAACAGCAACCGTTCCCATGTAGATAAAATACATCGCYTGTCCGGCATATCCGGCCAAAACGATGACATCGTTGGGCAAAAAAATCTCCGAGCGCAATTTTGTCACGATTCTYAGRAAGACATGAGTGGGCAAATCCTTGAAGAATTCCACRTTTTCGACCATTTTCTGGCATCGATGTATTAAAATGTCTTGCTTCAAAACGGAGGATAAGTTACTCAAAACGTCTTCTTCTCGGAAGATGTGCTTCTGGAACTTGAATTCGACGTATTTCAAAATTCTGTCTTTCAGCTGTGTTGGCAATTCCTTGTATTTCATGTATTCCCCGATTTCCTCGATAAGATTTTTGTATTTGCTTGTTGAACTGGAACGCTTTTGAAACAACTGCATTAATTTAGCTACAAGAAATTTTGATTAAAGTTATGCTTATTTTCACTAAATTGAATTAGTACATAATATAACAATCTGCAAAATAGCTCCAGCAACAAAACCAACGATTTGGATAATCATTACCAAAGTGTTGGTGTTTACTTGCTCACTTACACCAACCAACATAGTGCATCTCACAACCCGAAAAAAGGTCATAAGCATCGGAGCGTCCTTAACTCTTCTTAACAATATAGGACGAGCATGTATTATTTTAACTACTACGAAAAGAAAACTCGTAGTCCAAACTAATAAAACCGAGACCCATAAAAAGAAGCACATAAACTTCATGGAGTACGAAAGAAATTTTACCCTCTGTAAAAAAAGTAAGCAAAAGTGAGGCAAAAACAAAAACAAACCTCTCCTAGTTTGCGTAAGTAATTAAGAAGTGTCGGTAAACGCACTACTTTTAGTAAATTGAGCAATTCCCACATATTGTCTTGGTCTTGTTTATGCCAGTGCAAAATCATATGAAACGGAAAGGAAGAAACAATATCGAAGATAAAATATCGACAAATGTAATGCTTTGCAATTTCTTTAGACCCTAACACAATTTTCTGCTGCTTTTCGTCGTAATATCCGGTGAAAAAATTGAGGACTATGTCCACGAAAGATATAATGTCTAAGCCGAACTTTACGTAAAAAAGAATCAACGTGGATCCTTCAACTTTTGAAAATGATATCACCGCTGGGATTACAACAAACAGTGAGAGAAAGACTGGAATCATGAACATTTCCCACACCAAGCGAGCTTGACTGTAGGGATGTATCTTCCAACGATGGCGATAAAAATGCCGTTGTTCCTCGATGTACATTTGGGCAGTGGATTTGAAAATTGTCTTACTTTCAAGGATCGAGTTGTTGATTGTTTTCCATTTCCATATTCGACGACGAAGTCCCACGAATAAACCGCTGTGGATGCGATAAGCCAAGCTTTCTCCTTGAATAGGGAGACCACATTTATGATGCGGAATTTTCCTAATTGGGGTCGGCAGTTTGATTTTCTTCATTGCAAAAATATGCGACGTTAGAACATCTAATTATGGCGTTTACTAACATGATTGTAAGTATTTTTTTTATATCTTAATCTGATACGAAATCTATGGTTTCTTCTGTGGCTTGAGATGTAGTGTAGTGTCGGAAGGTACTGACTGTATTATTCAAATAACCAATCTAAATTTTTGACAATTTTAAACCAAAAAAAAATAAATCTGCATGCCATGGTTTAATTGAGTTTTATATTTATCAGGCCTTACTCGTATTTTTCAAATCTTTTTTATTTCTGAGGAGTACGGTAAGTACTAAAAATAATCATACATCTTCGAGGCAAGAAACAAATCACTTTTATTGAGAATTATAAAAATAAGTAATGATAAAAAATTACAATTCATCTTTCACGTCTGGAAATAACTTTTCGTTCTCTTTGATCGGCAACGAGTCCCAAAATTTGGTACTTTCGGCAGTACCACGTCCTACTGAGAGTTTTGTCGGAGAATCGATTTTCAAAAATGTAAATTTATCTTTCAAATTTTTGGGTACTTGTGGCCACTCTATCCCAACTTTGGGTCTCCTGAAAAAAAATGTTTTTTCATTATAAAATTTAGTAGTACTAACCCTGTATGTGCATAGGTTGTGATTAAATCAACGAAAAATTTGATCATTTTCTTGTCTTGATCATTAGTGTCCGTTTTGACAACGTCATATTTGTAAATATAGGCCGTATCATCACCATGTGAGGCCCCAAAATCCTCGGTACTACCGGAACAAAAT